GCCGCGTGTGCCTGACCTCTTGCTCAACCCTGTTCCCTGTAGCCATCTTCTGCTCACCCGGCTACCAAAGCAATTCCCTTGTACGACCCGTGAACGTCCAATTTGAGCGTCTGTGATAGGCACATGTTGAATGGATTTGAGAAATCTTAGTTTATTCTTTCCTCTCTTTAATTTAATGTCATAATCGAGTCACTTCAACAGTACAGTCTTGCATCTTGTCTTCTCGAGACATCCTTGGACTAGGACGACTTCTCTTTCCACGATTTTCTATTTCGTCAGCATCCGGCTGGAATATTAATGATGATTCTTGAATCTAAAATTTGGATTGATGAGGAAGGAATTTCGACTTATAATGAAAAACCTTTCATTTGCTAACCATATACTCACCTCAAAGTAGTGCAAGACGTTGGCCCTCTGCTTGTTCCGCTTAGCTGGAGCTGTACGAGCAGCATCATTTGTAGAAGGCTGTACATAGTAAGACGGAGAGGCTTTCAGCATGTCTCTGTCGCAGGAAATGGTACCTAATTGATTTTGTCATACAACAGTATTAGCTTTCATCAAAGTGATCCTACCAATCTTATCGTAGAGAGTTCTCCCTTTAGCTCGACTGAGCGTTTCCTTGACGGGATCAACCGGCTTTTCAAACGTTAATTTGGTATGCCGATAAGCGAAGTCACCCCATACGGCTGCAATAAACTCCAAGTAAGCACATTTCATAGCTTGCTCAGTTTGGAAATGTGATTGAAAGAAAGCGTAAAGAAAAATTCTCCTGGAACAGTAACCACAACATATAATGTAAGCACTTTTTAGCGGACTTTTTATGTGGTAACGGTTAAAATACCTCTACTAAGCCATTATTACGTTGAAGCTCATATATACCTACTCGTATTCAGAAAAATCAATTTTGCCCATTACCTACTCGAGTGCGCTGACTGGTCTTGGAAGCAATACGGTCTGAGGAAGAGTCAAACTTCCTAATCACATTTTATTAAGCTCTCTTTTGTAAATTATCATCAAGGCTGCTCAATGTATTTTATGAACGGTTTGAAAATACTCAGATTTCACAAGATAGTGCCACTAAATGTTTAGTGAGAATCAATCTGACTTTGATAATTGTGTAAGTTGGTAATGCTTACCACAATCATCAATTTGCATTTCTATTGCTCTTTTCCAATCTTGCATTGCTCTGTAATTTTGGGCAGTGATGTAAAAGTCGTAGCCCTCCACTTCATTGGAGTTTTTTGCCGACATGAGGAGTGTGTTAGGATGAGAAGTGTACAAAATCCGCGTCTTCTGAAAGTTGAGAGTTCAGTGGGAAACCGGAAAGATATAGAAAAAACTTTTTGTAATTTTAATGTTACATCCAGGTCAATCTGAAGAGTTTTGTGAAGTAATCACCAAGACAAATGTTCACGAACTAATGCATTAACATTTTGAATGTTTTGCAGCGCCCAACTTATCATATGAACCAAACATATTGACGCAAATAAAAAAATTCCTTGCAAAGGTAGCGGGCACATAGAGAGCAGAACGAAAGTTAGGACAGTGCTTGGATCGGAAAAATTTTATAGGTAACATAGCCAACAATAAGAGCGTTCCTCCTCGTCCTTCCTTTCGCACAGTTACATTGTGAGAGCAAAAAAGGCGCATAAAGCACATTTTTACGATCAAAATTTCCGTATACTATCACAAATCTTCAATATTGAAGCCTTGCTTCAAATAATACATTTTTTAAGCGAATTTGTATAGAAGTAAAGTGCTCTGAAATGTTGAGTACATAGAGTGAGCATTGCAGATCTACGCATGAAATAATTATTGAAGAAAAAAATTTGAAATTCTTTGGTTAACCCATATCTCGATTTTCAAAAAATGGCTATATCACTGACGTTCAAATGTACTATTGTTGTACACCAGGAAAGATTTTTGTCTGCTATTTGAAAAAACGCCTGGGAAGGAGGCGTAGATAAAAGTTCTTCCCTCTTGTTAAAGAAAATGAACTAACTTTGAGGAGTAGTATTATACACCAAAGTAGATCTACAGGGTCATTTTTTATAATTCTACAGGACGGCTTTGTTGCAGTGATTCTGCAACATACATAGAAGTTTTAGAACCTAGTTACATGATCCTCTTTCTCCTCTTCGCTTTCATTTAAGAGAAGTGTATTTATCAGCTTCTCTTCTCCTAACATCTTTGACATTGTATACTAGCATTCTGGCAATTACTCGACATAGACTCACCGATGTAATTGGTACAAGCAACAGTGTTTCTTCTGAAGATGGATATTGATGAAAATTTTGGTTGGTGAAGCAATGAAGGTAGCCAGCCTCAAACAAAGTTTCGTGTAAGTCCTTTATTTCATTGGGAACTGATGAATATTCTAGTGCTGCATGGAAGTTACCTGTAGCCTAGTTCGCACATTCCTTAGGTGAAGTCCTCCTAATAACGGCTTTATGGTTATCATACCTTCAGCCAGAGGCTTGAGAACGGAATGTGGTTGTACAGCTAAGCGACACAGCACATGGCCATACAATGGAGGGCCAGACAAGGCGGCTAAGATGGGATTTCTTTGGAAAAAA